TCAAGTTAACAGCTACTTTTTACGTTTTGTTCAGTTGAGATTGGAATTCCAAGTCTGAAATTATCCGAATGATTCTAGTGAAGGTGTATGGAGTTTAAAAACACAGTGGAGCACTTCCTGTGTTACCACATGACATCACAAGTTAGAACAGAGTGGAGAAGAGAGAAGAGAGGAGAACTCAGCCTAAATATACAGGATTTGTGTGTTAAACATGTGTGACTGAAACAAAACACAACTCCAGATATGTTTGTGATGAGAAAATAAGATTATAACGTCAATCAGAAAGAGTAAGAACAGAAAATTGTCATCTGAAAATGTAGAGGGGACAGAAGGACAGACTGCTGTGTCAACTTAACTGGATAACTGCACTAAATTGTTCATTTAAAAGTTTATAAAAGTATGATTTTGGAAAGGCATTTATTTTTATGCGAGCAGTTTTCACCATAAGTAATTTGACAATAGTGTACAAAATACTGGCTAATAATAATAATAGTAATACACAAATCTAATATGAATTATGCATAATAAAATCTAATGTAATCTCACAGCAACTTAAATATTTTTTTATTTTAAAATGTTACTTATATCATAGGTAAAATTCTGCATGAAAAAACACTTGCATCTTTGGATTTACGTCTATGGCTGCCTGTAACTGTTGATTTGATGTGATTTTATGGATTTGTGATTTTTCTATATTAAAATAAACAAAAATAGCTTCTTATTCATAGTTTAAGCATATGGAAAGATGCTACTGTATTTTAATATGAAAGTAGTAGCCTATAATAGTGTCTGAGCTCTGGGCCCTCAGTGCGGTGACACTGACGGAGGCCTGACGCTCGGGGCACAGACACTTCACATGAAACAGCGTCAGATAAAAGGCTCCATTTAATCTGCGTGAAGAGATTTGTGGAGCGAGAGAGGTAAGAGACAAAGAGAAAGGGAGAGAGAGAGAGAGAACGAGAGGAAGAGGGAAGGGAGTAAGGAGAAGAGAGAGGGAACCAGTTTTAGCCATGTGGTTTTGGGCATACATTTATTCTGGTTTGGTCCCTGCTAAATTGGTTAAAACTTGTTTTGTGCTAGTTCAAGTTCTGTTTTAGTTCTTCTTTATTAAATCTAGTTTCAAGCTTATTAGACCTTGTTTAGTTCTGGTTTAGTCCTGGTTTAGTTCTGGTTTAGTCCTGGATTAGTTCTATCTTAGTCCTGGTTTAGTTCTATTTTATTAGTCTCCTGGTTTAGTTCTCATTTAGTCCTGGTTTAGTTCTTGTTTAATCCTGATTTAGTTCTAGTTTAGTCCAAGTTTAGTTCTAGTTTAGTCCTGGTTTAGTTCTGGTTTAATCCTGGTTTAGTTCTAGTTTATTCTTAGTTTAGTTCTAGTTTAGTTGTCCTGGTTTACTTCTAGTTTAGTCTTGGTTTAGTTCTAGTTTAATCCTGGTTTAGTTCTGGTTTATTTCTGGTTTAGTTCTACTTTTTAGTCCTGGTTTAGTTCTGGTTTAGTCTTGGTTTTAATTCAATTTTGTTAATCCTGGTTTAGTTCAAGTTTATTAGTCCTGGTTTAGTTCTCATTTAGTCCTGGTTTAGTTCTCATTTAGTCCTGGTTTAGTTGTTGTTTAGTCTTGATTTAGTTCAAGCTTATTAGTCCTGGTTTAGTTCTGGTTTAGTCCTGGTTTAGTTCAAGCGTATTAGTCCTGGTTTCGTCCTGGTTTAATAAACGTGCTTAGTATTAATTGTAGGATTGGTTTGGTCCTGTTCTAGTCCTTGTTTAGTCCAGGTTTAGATCTGGGTTTGTCCCTAAAGATGATTTGACATGATGTGTGTATGCACCATGAGTCCAGCTTCAGTCTTTCTTGGTTTCAGTCTCTCTCCAACCCTGGTTTAGTTCTTTTTAAGTCTTGGTTTAGTCCTGATTTAGTCTTGGTGGTTTAGTTCTGGCTCAGATCTGGGTTTGCTGTATTTTTAATCCCTATTCACAACATAAATGCAAGTAAAAGTTCTGAAGTGCCTCTCATCAGACCTCCATAGCTCGCATGCGGTTGTGGCTCGGTCCCGGTGCAGCACTGAGACGCACCGCTCGGGGCCACATCTCCGCGGGACTCTCCGGGGAGCACACAGGCTTCCATTGATCCCGAAAGCTTTTTAATACACTGCCGCTGTCATTAGACGTGACACAGGACAATGCGCGCGTCATTCTGAGGCCATTATTAATGTTCACGAGGCCAAGGCCAGAGTTCACCGCGCGCTCCCTCACAGATAAACCCTCAGACTTCTCGGCACAAATTAAAGAACCGTATTATGTCACATCGCGGCAATTAGACGTAACAGCTAAAAAATGTTTCCTTTTCTTTTCAAACTACTCATCCATCACATGAAGTCAAGCCAGATGTCAAAATCGGACCCAAAATCTGTAGCCTATTATTTTGACATTTTATATAGATTGGTTCTGTACGTGATAACTGCTGTAACAAACGTGGATATAAAAAGATCATTTTACTTTTCATAACAGTATTTGTGCTCGCTCTCAGATTAATTATGGCTGACTCGAGAAAATATAAATTGACCGATTAAAGTGTTCGCCATGAAATTCGAATAAACGGAGTTAAACTTTATTAGGCTATTGTTCGAATTGGTTTTGTAACAGAACATGGACTATAAAGAAAATTCTTTTAAAAAATTGAATGGTTTGAGTGCTAAATACATCTTAAATAAAAGTAGTAGTTCCGTTCACTTTTATTAGGAGGTAGAGGCCAAACTTTGCTCCAGTGTTCACGTGCGTGCGTCACCACCTCGCGCGCTACGTGAGTGGATTTCTGAAGCCTGACTTGTCACAGTGAATGGCACTCGACCCCAATAGGAAACATTTTGTAGGTGAAAACGGCCACTTTCTGCGCCTCTCGGGTCCAGCGGAGCGCTCCCTGAATAATTCATGTTTGATAATGCGGGGAGCGGGGCCTTTCTCCCTCTGAATTCTAAGCAGCCCGCCTCGCCTCTTTGCGCCGCTGCGGCCAAAGCTGTTTCCAAGCTGGCCTTTTGTCCGCGCGTGAGCCTCAAATAGACTCTCGCGCTTTTGTCTCCCAAGTTCATCCCCCGCGCGTCCCGTTGTGCGCGCGAGGCGGGTCTTTGTGCCGAGATGGAAACCGTTGAACAAATGTTTGATCAGCTCATCCAGGGCACATTTTGTTTGCGCGCAACACGTTCCTTTATCTGTGATGCGTGAGTCCATGACGCAAAGAGTGGCACAATGCAGAAAAAAATGTTTTAAAGTCCCACTAACACACAATACTTCAAGACTGTTAAATACATCGATCATGGATTTACTTCAAGCTAAACATTTTAATAGAAGTTTCCACATTTTCAGACGTTTTGAAATAAAAACTGAACACTAAACATCTTAGGGGAATATTGCAGTAGAAGGACAGGGGCAGACTAGACTCGTAATGTACCCCTGTTTGGAAAGGCACTTCACATAATTTGCGAAGTGTAAACGGCGTGCGTAAAGCGCTCTGGTGGCTGCCGTGGCCAATTGCTCCTCTCTGATGACACAGAGATAAAAAACTAACGCGATGACGTGGTTATGGAGCTACACAAACGAACGCACGGCCGCGCGCTCTCTTCATGCCTCAGTGCGTAACTGAGGGGCCACGTGCTGCACTTACTTCAGGAGTTATAAAACAGGCTGAGCCCTGGTCTTAGCGAGGCGCTGTGACTTTTACACCACATAAAACTGCATAAGCGCATTGTTTTGAGTTTACAGCTCGTATAATTATACTACATTGTTTATAGTATTTGTGCATGTCAATATTAACTGCACAAATCAACTTTTACGCACGGTACGCTCTCTGGGTCTACAAAAGATGAATAGAAAACAACAAGGGCGTGATTTGGCATTGGAAACGCAAATGAAAATCTCCATGTTTAATTTCACATTTAACAAAACCAAAGCACCGAGAACTCGACAATATTCAGATTTACTGTAATGCGCTTTTAACCCAGTGCTACGCGCGCACGGACACGCGCACACATGTCCGTTTCCCGCACAAAGCCATCACCTGCTGTTTGATTTACGGTACGGCCTCATGGGAAAAGCATTAGCTGGGAGAGATATTCTCCATAAAGGCGTCCTGTAACAAAAGACTACACAACCTCACCACCCCCCAACTCACAACTTTACGCACGCTTCCAGAGCCAAGCCATGGAGCAGCAAAACATTCACGACACTCAAGGCAAAACCTGTGCAAACTTTCTAGGATTCACACACAAATTTTACCGAAAACGTCCTATGCTTGTAAACCACTTTTACTTCACTTTTCCAATAGTTTCGTTTAATCACGAACATTTTTGCTGATAACTGTAAAGACAACGTGTTGCATTTTGCGGCCCAAAAAAACTGAGCAGTTAAGTTTCACGCATAACACCACACATTTATGCACATCATGACATTTAGATACAAATGTAGCCTACTCTATAAAGACCCAAAACAGAAATGGGAAGTGGACAGCGTGACTCAAAAATGAATTCATTTAGTACATTTCTTAAAACACATTTTCTTATACGGCATGAGTAAAGTTTAAAAAGTTTGGCAATATAGAAACTGGTAGCAACATGGTGGTAAGAGGTTATATGACTGGTAAGTGTGGAGTCCGTTCTAGTGTTATAATATAGTAGCAGTAGTAATAGTAGTAGTAGTTGTACTAGTAGTTGTAAGTTATTGAAAATGTAGTATTAGCAGTATGATGGTAGCAGTAGGTTGATTAGCAGTAGCTGAGAAGTTGTGTGGAGTGATGAGAAAGTTCATAGTGTATCAGTAGTAATAGTAGTAATAGTAGTAGTATAATAAGTTCAATTTCTTAAAAAAATAAAATAAAAATCAGCAGAAGCCAAAGTAGCGGACATGAATATCTCTGTACCAATCTAATAAACTTTTAAATTTCAATTTCTTATTTTGCTGCCTCTAATCTGTAATAATATAAGTTGTGTCATTGTACAGTAACAGTGTGTGGACTCACAGCGGTCTCCCAGAATGCCCTCGATGCTGTGTTTGGCTCTGCGCTCGCTCTCCTCCAGCTCCTTCTTCTCCAGCTCCTCTTCGTCCTCCTCATCGTCACACTTCCCTCCAAACTTACTCCTCAGGATGCGGCTGATGGCGCTCACTGGGTCCAGACACAAAATACAAGAATAATCAGTGTACAACAAGAGTTCTTTCAAAATGTATAAAGGTCTATATTGAAGTTTGATATGGTTAAATATCCTATATAAATTCTCAAAAAAAAGCTATTATGTTAATACCTTAATTTACTTAGACTACTACTAATACTACTGCTACTAATACTAGTTTTAACAATTAGCAAATACTACTTCTATTACTTTTTTAATGTGTTGTGGTGCTGTACTAGGGTATTTATTTATTTAATTTTTTAAACAATTAGCCAAAAAATACGTTCCATGTTGCCACTGTATTCAGTAGCCATGGATTTCGAACACTATTGCTCATCTGGAGATTTTGAAAAGTATTTTTTGTTTATTAAATATGTCAATTCAGGAAAAAAAGAAAAAAAAAAGGGGGGGGATTTTTTTTTCTTTTTTTCAGATTTGTATCAGATTGTAAATCAGGTTTCGAGTATTCAATTTTATAACTGTGGCAATGTACATATATATTACAAATATACTGGTGTAAGTGAGAATCACATTGCCCGTGTACCGGAGGGGACGTTGTTGCGGTCGCAGACGCCGTCTTTAAGCAGCCTGTCCCGGATCTCCCAGCTGAACATGCCCGGGCTGTCGCGCTTGTACTCCTCTATCCGCTTCTCCACGTCCGGAGTCGCCCCCTGCTTCAGAGGGCACGAGAGTCCACTGTTTATTCACTGCGTTTGGCCCCGAGGCGCTGCGCATTTGTGAGATTTCTACATCAGCAACAGGTTGGCGTATGACTCAAGGGAAGGGAAAGGACTAACACGTGGTTCCACAAACAAGCCAACAATATTAATGCTTTTATATTTTCTCATGGTAAAGAAAATGTTGCTTGTTTAAATGCTCAAAATTAAAGCACCGTGTCATGCTTGTATAACTTTTCCAAAATTGTGAAAGGAAGGATGTAATAGCAAAAACAGAACAAATTAAAATAAAATAACTTTCACCAATGCGTAAATGCAAAAAAGTTCGTATGATTTCGTCTTTTTACGCACAGTTTTTCTAGGCTTTACAAAGAGTGTTATTAGTTTGCCTGATATGAAGTTGGCTGCTGCAACATAAACATTTGACCAAAATTACCTTCATCCGTTAGTACTCCTATTAATTTTGCCAACCTCATAGCACACGTACCTCATCTTTAACTTTTGTCTACTCAAATTTAGTTTCTGTCTACTCTCCAGACCCTGCTGCATCTGTAGGCGTCAATAGTCAGATTTTAGCAGTCAAAACCACTCAATAGCCCGAGCCGCCCAAGTTATCTCTCTATTTTCCTTAGAACCTAAGGAGCAATACTTAGCCAATTACACTAGGAGATTAACAGTACTATGTCCCTAATAATGGTGTCCTTACCTTGGGCTTGCTGCCTCCGATGGCTCCCGGGCGGATAGAGCCGGTCTCCTGGTAGCGGCACAGAATTTTGGACACGCAGCCGTGAGAGACGCGCAGTTGCCGGGAGATAACGCACGGCCGGATCCCGTGGTGCGCCATCTCCACGATTTTGTGCCTGATGTGATTAGGTAACGGCCTTCCATTTATGAACACTCCTCCGAGCTGGTTCACGCGACCTTGGCCCAGTGGTGTAGACACTGAAATGAGTTTGGAAAAGTTCGTTTTTAATGCGTCAAATGCACGCGTAAAATGGTTCCCAATACCAGTGGTGTTAGAGCATTAGATCAATTAACATGTTAATGTTATGGGACTATTTTGAATCTTAAATCTTAAATTGAATTGGAAAAACATTTTAAAAAATACTGGAGCATGTGCGTAAAAGATATATCTTTATGTAAAAGTCATGTTTGTAATTAAAGTTTTACTAGCCCTTTTCAACAAGTTTTTAAAAGTAAAACTTGCATAGTTCATAATGCAACTTTATCTGGTGTTTAACTTTCAAGACGTATGAGACCGTTTCCAAGTCAACTTGACGGGTTACCTTCTAATGGGAAGCCACTGCGGGGGTAGTTCTGAGCCAGCGTGGGTCGCATCATCCTCGGTATAGACCCCGCCAACGCAGTCATACCTCCACCACTCCGGCCACCACCCAAAGCTCCTCCAGCGCGGGAGAGAGCTACTTCAGGCTCCGCTTTCTATCCGCACAATCGAAAGCAAAGTTTTCAAAAAAAGATCCCGTGAAGAATGCGTGGAAACCCGCAGCCTAATAGCGTAAATCCCGTTCGTCTCCAGAAGAAAGATGGCGTGAAAGTGGTAGAAAATGTTTCTGATTCACCAATAACTGAAATGTTTTCTTTACAATCCGTGTTTAATTTGCCGAACTATGACGAGCTGTGGCGCACCGTTGACAGAGCAGTCGACGCTGCACGCTCATTATTGTTGTTGTTTGTTGACATCGGGGTAAAGTGAGAGTCTGTCAAAAGTAGCGGAGCTCTTCTCTCTCCCACGCAGCGCACGCGACCGTGATTGGTCCAAAACTGAGCCCTTACTCGTAACCAAGAGCGTTGATTGGTCGAGATGGGAAACTTTCAACCAATCAGCGCCATCACTGCACTTCTGGTTAAGGCGTCATTATTCCATGTATTGAGAAGCACTTTGCTAAGAAACTTTTAAACTATTGATGGGTATGACATTAATGCTGTCAGTGCAGAAAACGTGGGGAGAGTAACCAGTGCAAATATGAAAATAGGCCTATGTTTCCGGTATTTTAAAAAAAAAAGTATGTTCATTTTACCAAAACAATATTAAGACATAGCAACTTTTATCTCATTTGGCTTACTTGGACATAATAAATTCTTGGGCTTTTTTTTTTTTTTTTTTTTTTTTTTAAACACACATAAATATATTTAAAGTTAGAAATTACATCACTTAACTGGTAACCTTAAAAACACATGGAAAACTCAAAGCGATAAAGGCTGCAAATAACTATTTTAATGTGTGCGTAAAAGTTTTGTCTTTGTTACGTCTTGTTTAACACACCCGTTGACCGTGACCCCTTATTAGCCGTCCATCTGCGGTCTAATATCTGCCCAAATGGCGCAGAAGTGAATGGCGTTGGTGGTATTTATTGCGTTTTTGAGAATGAGCAGCGGGCAGCGGAGAAGAAGCGACTGAAGGGGCGTGTGCCGCAGCGGGACACGACGCCAGAGCGGCCGTAAAGAGTCTGTGCCATCCTCAACCAGTGAGCGCAATTCAGCTGCAAATGTGCAATTATTGATAGGCTATAATGGGGGGAAATATTGGCCGTCTCTATTCGAGATACACGCGCTCATATGAGATTAGAGATTAATTGTTTACATTATGGTGCGTGCTGTGCGTAAATGGTGCGTGCTGTGCGTAAATGTCGATAGGTGCCAATAGTAACAAGTTTGGTTCCACGATTAAGAAGTGGCAAGAAAAGTGATACATATCTTGAATACGCAATCATAAGAAAAAAAATATTATACATTTTCATTTATTCTCGTTAATATTGAACTGTGAATGAGTTTTAAACCAAAACAAACATTATAAACGCATATGTGGAAAGATGGCATGTGTTAGAGGAAAAAGTTGAGTTGCCCAAGTCAAATAAATGAAAATGTCATTAGGAGGCATCCATTCCATTTATTAAAGTCTACAAGAAACTATTCAACAAATATAATATTTCGAACGTTTATTTGTGCGTAACTATGTGTGCGTAATTCCCATGGAAGACGTTATATTGGATACAAACACAAGTCTGTCTGGAATATGGATGTCAGCCTAATCCTTTGATTAATCGTTGTACAGTTGATATTGTTTTGTATTAAAACTACAGTCTTATTTCTCACTCATATTCACGTGAAGAATGATCAAAATCCATTCAAACCTTAAAATAGGCCTACATCATTTTAAACTAGAAGGAATAAAGACGTTTTTAATGATCTAATCTTGAGAGCATGAAAAGCTATTAACACTTGGATTAGGCTCTAGGCTAATTGCCATAAGACATTTCTCTTGTTTTGGAGAGATGGCAAGTACAAGTAATTACCATTTCAAATACTGCGTAAAATATTAGTAAACTGGCCATTTCCAAAGAACGTGAAGGAACAATACCACGGAGCTGCGCCTATAATTCATCACTATAATTCAATGAAAGATATGACCTTTGCTCCTTGTTGTCTTTTATTTTTGCCCATTATTTAACTTCTTTCACGTTGAAGTCCGAGTGAAAACCGCGTTACCTGCAGAGCACTTTCATGTCCGCTCACCTTTGCCATAGATTTAAATCATAATAACATAATGAGGCAATATTAGGGGGAGCCAGCAGCGGGAACCACTGCCATTCCCCTTCCCATTTACGCACGGGGATAAAGCTTTCCCCGAGGCAAAGCTTAATTCACATGCAAGTTTTTAAGCACTTCAAATGTTGTCTTGTCCGCGCGCACAATGGACCAGCGCTGGGTTTAAAATAACAGGGGTCTTTTACCTGCGCAGGGAGAGGCCTTTGTCTTTCAGATTAACGTAGTCGAAATGAATGAACTTTTGGGAGATGTCATAACACGACTTCAAAGAGAAAGGGGAAATGCCAGTTTGTTTGTAGTGACCGCTGTTTGACACGAGCGGGGAGGTCACGAATCAACTCTCAGGCTATATGTAACAATACATAATAGTTTTATAACACTTAATTAGGTAATCTCTTCGTTTATTTTGAAAGAGGTATACAGTTACAATCCTTGGTCTTCATCCCAAAATTGCATATCTAAAGCAGATCGAGTGATTAAGACATAAACCAAAATATAGCAGTTCATTTTTGGTCCATTCACGATTTTTTTTTTTTTTACGTTACTGGATCTGTATCTCAAAATTGAAAGCCCAAAACACTACATAAAAACGATTAAGACATAACACTATTCAGTAGTTTATTTTAGTTTATTTATTAGTTTAATTTGGACCCATTAATTGTTATTTTTGTACTACTATTATTATTCAGCCAAGAAGCCTCTGAACTGGCATATGTTAAGGCGTTTGTATCAGACTAAACTTTGCGCAATAGCCTAACCATCATGAAAAGCAGAGTCATTTCAAATATTCTACGCAAATTAAGCAAAATTCCTTTAAAATAGATAGTAAAAGAAATATAACTAAGCGTAAATTAATCCCAATATGTATTTTTTTACTTTCTCACGACGTTTAGTTCAACCATCCTTCTTTTACGCACAGGGACGTGACGATATGGGAGTGTCAGTGATCTTATTGAAACTGGATCTGGAGCCGAGCAAACAGCGCGAGGGGCAAATGGAAAACAGAGCAGTGCGCGCGGGGAGGAGAGAGCCTCGGCGCATACCTCAGGGCCGTCTTTAAAAGCGACACCGAATCCGCGTGTCCAATCCATTACCGGGGGATGAAACTCAAAGTCACAAACCTCTCCTGATGAGGAATAAATGAGTTGCATCGCATGTTCTACCGGGGACAGTATTTTGGAAACACGGCGTTTGTCAAAACAATTACAAGTTTCGCTCTCTTTGTAGCCAATAACGATATCGTCTTTACGCACGGCAAATTCATTCAGTGTGAGTCGCGTGTTATGCAGCAATTCCACCGTTTATTTTTGATTTAAGTCTCATTGTCGTACCATGTGTTTTTAACCGCGAATGACCGTCTGGATTAGGTATTTAGTGCACTGAAAATATGTGTTAAATTATTGGTTTTGAATTCATTAGTGTTTCAAATTATGCTCTTCGAGAAATACAATGTTTTCTTTACAGCTGACAAATTGATTTTAAAAGGACATCAAAATAAAACACTTCATTAAACCACAATCAAAGATGCACTATGTAACTTTTTTTTTGGTGGAGAGACTGCCATCAGCTTGTATCCATGCAGAATATCTCTTTCCATTGAGAGTTACAAGTCAGATCTGTGGAGACGCTGATCACAGGTGTATTTTCGAGCGAAGTTGAAATATGGTTCCATTCAATTATGGTTCAAATGGATTTTTGCTACTGATGTTTTTAGACGGACATCAAAATAAAACACATTGTAGGCCTCTGACAAGTCACTGTTTTCAATTTATCCAAGCACACAACATAGCAGTTCATTTACAATAGTCGTTTTGTCCGTCCCCATCTTAATTTACTGGAATATAGGAGGTTGTGATGTCATTTACTGTGGTAATCCAAGAATAAAACTTCAATTTCAATTCTCACTTTACTGTAGATTCTCACTGAAAGCATCACAACTGGACTGGACACAAATGGAACATAGTAAACAAAAAATAAACTCAAAATAACTAAAAACTAGATTTGTAAAGTAGCTACCCTTTGCTTTGGCCACTCTTTCACTTTTGACATGTCTTGACTTCAACAAGGCACAGCTGCGAAGTGAAAACCATTTCAGGACTTCATCAAGATGTTCACTGAAAGAAGACCAACGATTGTAGCACTGTCGACAAAGCAAAATGTGGATGCTTTATATTTAGCTGAGTTATATAATTTTGACTACACAATTCTATATTTCTTGCATCATATATTTGATGTCTTAGCAGTAAACACCGAATAAGTCTTTTGATTGATGTCAAAGAATGTAATTTTTCAAACAACAATAGTAGTTCCTAAAATAATATCACATAATCTACAATGAAAAGAAAAAACAGTATCCAGGTTAGTTAAAATGACTTAAATGAAGAAGATTTGACTTTATTTGAGTAGATTCAACAAGTAAAATGATCTACCAATGGAACAACCAACATTTGATTTTGTTTATTATTTTAAGTGCAAAGAGTTCTTGTTTTTCTTATTTTAAGTGTCGCAAGTTGTATTTTCATATTTTAAGTACAAAAAGTCTTGTTCCACTGGCAGATAATTTAACTTGTCAAGCGAAATTTACTCAAATCGTGATCAAACTTTCTTAATTCAAGTCATCTGTACTTGACTGGATTTAGTTTTTTTTGCATTGTCGTTCTGGTTTAGATCAAGATGATTCTGATCCGGAAAGGTCCAGTTTTTTTTTTTTTATATTTATGTGATTTATTTTTATTTTTATCTCCTTTCAAATGAGTACCAGCAGTTTCTGTATTGATTTGGATATAAATTTTGACAACCTCTCC